CCAGGCTGGAGTGCAAAATGGGCTCACCAAAACCTCAGTCTCCCAGGTTCTAGTGATTCTCCTGCCTCAGCCTCCCAAGTAGCTGGGATTACAGGCATGCGCCACCACACCCGGCTAATTTCATATTTTTAGTAGAGATGGGGTTTCTCCATATTTTTCAGGCTGGTCTCGAACTCCCAACCTCAGGTGATCTGCCCTCCTTGGACTCCCAAAGTGCTGGGATTAGGGGCATGAGCACCTGGCCAAGCACACAGCTTTTTAAGAGTTGGGGCTGGGGCCAGGCGTGGTGAGTCACGCCTGTAATCCAAGCACTTTGGGGGCCAAGGTGGGCAGATCACCGGAGGTCGGGAGTTCAAGACCAGCCTGAGCAATATGGTGAAACCCCATCTAAAAAAAAAAAACAAACAAACAAAAAGAGCTGGGGCTGGTATTCAAACTCAGGTCTGAGTCCAGTGCCTGAGTGCCTAACAGCTAAGCTGGTGTTCCTGATCTTTTTCCTTCCTTTTCTTCATTATAACCTCTTCACCACCACCAGGAGACTTACTAGACACCCCCTTCCTCCCTCACCCATAACCCTTTCTTCCCCACAGCCCCAGAAAATGTTAATACCAGAGATATACTGCAGGTCTGTCTATGTAATATGGTCCGCGGCGGGGGCCACAACCATTGTAATATCTAAGATACTTCCCCTCAACCAATTTTGTTCCCTTGAAGGTGACATTACTCTGGCTGAAAAAGCATGTTCTAAGCCATACAGCTTCTCCCCTTCCTGTCCATTCATTCACTCATTCATTTAACAGGAAATAAAAGGTCCTCTATCATGTTCAAAGCACTAAGCTAGATGCTATGAAGGCAATAAAGACAAAACGCCTGGTCTCTACCTGCCCCCAAGCAGCGTGTTGTCTTGTGTAACCATCTGGATGCCTGTGGTGCTAAGATGCTGCCTCATACCCACATCTCCATATCCCTCACACCTCTGTATCCCTAGGCAGAGACGAGCAGTGTACTGCAACAAACACCTGCAGGCTAAGAAGCTTGTCCTTTCCAAACAAGATCTCTGGGCTAAGACAGCAGGGACCTCTTTGGCTAGGTTCAGCTCTAAAGAGACAAACCTGTTAGTCTCCTGGGGTTACGTTTACTAATAACATCATAGTCACGAAACATACACTTCATTCATTCTTTCCTTTAGACACTCGTTAATTGTTTGTTGGGTATCAGGCCCATGCTAAGTCCTGGAGAAATAAACATGAGTTTCAGGCTGCCTTAAGAAGTTGAGTTTTCAGCCGGGCACAAGCCTGTAATCCCAGCACTTTGGGAGGCCGAGGCGGGTGGATCACGAGGTCAAGATATCGAGACCATCCTGGTCAACATGGTGAAACCCCGTCTCTACTAAAGATACAAAAAAATTAGCTGGGCATGGTGGCGCATGCCTGTAATCCCAGCTACTCAGGAGGCTGAGGCAGGAGAATTGCCTGAACCCAGGAGGTGGAGATTGCAGTGAGCCGAGATCGCGCCATTGCACTCCAGCCTGGGTAACAAGAGCGAAACTCTGTCTCAAAAAAAAAAAAAAAGAAGTTGAGTTTTCATTTATAGTGTTTTCAATTGCCCTATGCTACAATTACCTCTGTCACCATGCTTATCCTTTTAAATGTTAAAGAAATAAACAGTTCTCAATGAGGTTATTTTACTCCCTGGGTATGTGCTGGGAGGAGGAGAATTCAGCAATGTTTGGAGACATTTTTGGTTGCTGGGTGCTACTGGCATCCAGTAGGTAGAGGATTAGGGATGGTGCCAAATATCCAACTACATACAGGACAATCCTTCCCACAACAAAGAATTATCTTTGTTGATTCTGGCTCTGAAACCCAGCTTTTAAAAATTGTAGGCCTGGCGCAGTGGCTCAGGCCTATAATCCTAGCACTTTCGGAGGATCACAAGGTCAATAGATGGAGACCAGCCTGACCAACATGGTGAAACCCTGTCTCTACTAAAAATACAAAAATTAGCTGGGCCTGTTAGTCCCAGCTACTGGGGAGGCTGAGCCAGTAGAATCAGTTGAACACAGGAGGCAGAGGCTGCTGTGTATTCTAGCCTGGTGATAGAGTGAGACTCCATCTCAAAAAAGAAAAAAAAATTGTAACGATTTTGTTACGTATCTACATTTGCAATTCAAGGGTAGGTTTTCTGTCTTAGCACCGGATACTCAATAGTTTGTTGGGTTAAAAACACTGGCAATAGAAATTTTCACTCTGAAAGAAGCACTTAAGCCAACTATATCTTCCTTATTTCCATTCCCTTCCCAGTCTTTCATGTCACTGAGCCGATTCTCCAGACATCCGTAAGAACTCACTGAAAAACTGTGATCGTGTTATTCTTCCTTTAGTTGATTCTTAGTGCACTTAGAATAAAATCCAAGCTCTACACTATTAGGACTGCACTTAGAATAAAATCCAAGCTTATAGGCCCTGCACGATACAATACTTATCCTACCCCAATCTTACCAGATGCCATTCTTTTCTTGGTTTACATCCGAATCATCCTGATGTCCTTCCAACCCCTCACGCACAGCAAGCCTTTCCTGCCTACAGGTCTTGGCACTTGGTTTCCCTGTCAGGCTCCCTCGCTAAGCACTCCCATGCCCCAGAACCCATCCAAGACGTTCTGATCTTTCCCATTTCAGCTGAAAAAGAGAACTTCCAAGACAACACTAACCAAATAATGTGACGGTGCAACAACGGTGAACGTTACATGTTTATCAGCCTTTTGGTAAACAGCCGTCCCACAGCTCGGCCTGCTTTAGGAATGAAACTACGCTTGTTAAGTTCAACTCTCTTTCACAGCTTGTTAAGTTCAACTCTCTTTCACAGTCCTCTCCACAGAAAGAACTCTACAGTTCGTTCTCGGATTTCACTAAACGAGTACTCCCATCCTTGCCCATCCTCGCAGCTGACTGCCGTCACGTTGATCCTGTCTTTCCAGTATCCACGAGAGGCGGAGCCCGGGAAAAGAGCCGACCCCCATGCTCCGCCGTCCCCGCAACCCCACACCTCGGGAATCCACCGTCTTTCCCACTCACCTTCTTCTTCTCAAGGCCTCCCATCTCTCCAAGTTGACTAGCAGACTAGGGCCGCGCGGACAGACAGCACCACTTCCTCCCGCACGTGCCCTGCCAAGGACCCCCCCGAACACGCCCCAACAATATCGGTTTGCGCGGGCTACCCAATGAGGTGCCTGTATGAGTCCAGGGAAAGATGGCGATTTTCTCCTCGAAACTTAAAACTATACACTGAAAAAAAACCCCTGAGACTACTCTTTCCATATCTTTTCCGCTTACAATGAGTTACAACCGATTTAAGTGTTAAAACAAACATGGATATACAGGCATTTATGTAATCTTCCTGATGACGGTCCTTGACTGTGAGTCTCGTTGCATGTTGGGACGGAGAGAGGCGGAAGGCTTAGAGGCAGCGCAGTGCCTTCTGGGATGCAGAGGGGCAATACACTCCGTGGTGCGTGATGGGATTGCGTTGTCAAGGTAACGGTTGCTAAGCGTCGTCAGAACTTGGCTTGCGCGGCTGAGAAGCGGCTCTCGCGGCGCGACACGAGGCTGCGCGTGGTTCCCCACCGCCTTCGGGTTCTCTTTAGTTGATTTGTTGTTATGCGGATAAAATAGATAAAATAGAAAAAAGAAAGACATTTTTCCTCGCGGAGGTATACAGACCCAAGAGGCCACTTCTATTTTCTGAACCTTAGTGGTGGACTCGTGGCTTGTTTAAAACGTACGTTCAAGGCCGGGCGCAGTGGCTCATGCCTGTAATCCTAGCACTTTGGGAGGCCCAAGCGGGCGGATCACCTGAAGTCAGGAGTTCGAGACCAACCTGGCCAACGTGACGAAACCCTGTCTCTACTAAAAATACAAAAATTAGTCGAGCATGGTGGCATCCACCTGTAAACTCAGCTACTCGAGAAGCTGAGGCAGGGGAACCGCTTGAACCCAGGAGGCGGAGGTTGCAGTGAGCCAAGAGTGTGCCACTGCATTCCAGCCTGGGCGACAGAGTGAGACTCCGTCTCAAAAAAATAAAGTCTCTTGGAGAGACTTTATTTCTTCCCAGCTGGTTCTCTCCATTGGTAGACCCCGGAGGGGAACTTCCCTGTCAGCCCTGCATTGGTAGGGGCCTGCCCAGTCCTTCCCAAATCCTTCCCAGTGCCTTGTTCCAGTTCGTTGTATCCAGACCCTGGAAGGAATGTCTTTGTCAGCCCTGAGTTTAAAGGAGGCCTTTGTGATTTCCTTCATTCAGACCATGGAGGGAATTTTGTGGACCCTAGGCTTAAGGGTGGTGCTGGAGGGGTAATCAGCTTAGACTCAGCTGGTCTGTAAGGTTTTGTGAGGGTGCTTATGCTAAGAGTACCCTCGAAGGGTCACCTGGGTGAGGGAAGTGCAATTATCGGGGGAGGGCTTAGTTCTTTTTTCTTTTTCTTTTTTTTTGAGATAGAGTTTTGCTCTTGTTGCCCAGGCTGGAGTGCAATGGCCCAGTCTTGGCTCACACAGCAACCTCTGCCTCCTGGGTTCAAGTGACTCTCCTGCCTCAGCCTCCCAAGTAGCTGGGACTACAGGCATGTGCCACCACACCTGGCTAATTTTTTGTATTTAGTAGAGATGGGGTTTCACCATGTTGGTCAAGCTGGTCTCAAACTCCTGACCTCAGGTGATTCAACCACCTCGACCTCCCAAAGTGCTGGGATTACAGGCATGAGCCCTGGACATTAGAGGGGCTTATTTCTAACAGGACAGTCTCTAGCCAACCACCTTCAAGAACCCTGGCAGCTTACAAGTTTAAAAGCTACAAGTTAAGTTCAAAGGCATGCTAGCTTTTTTTGGATTCTAGCTGACTATATATTATGGCCCAAATTTGGGCACATTTTAAAACTGATGGGCAAATTACATCAAGGAAAATTCAGAGCTCAAATGGTTAACCTGCAATTATAGAGTTAACATATAGAATCTTCTAAGTTGGAGGAACTTTCCAGAACGCTTGGTGAGAGGCGGAGGAGCGGTAGCTGCCCGAGCTGCGCACAGCTCCGCACAGCTCTGCGCTCCTTCCCGCTCCCTCACACACCGACCTCAGTCCGCTCACCGGCAGTAGAAGATGGTGAAAGAAACCACTTACTACGATGTTTTGGGAGTCAAACCCAATGCTACTCAGGAAGAATTGAAAAAGGCTTATAGGAAACTGGCCTTGAAGTACCATCCTGATAAGAATCCAAATGAAGGAGAGAAGTTTAAACAGATATCTCAAGCTTACGAAGTTCTCTCTGATGCAAAGAAAAGGGAATTATATGACAAAGGAGGAGAACAGGCAATTAAAGAGGGTGGAGCAGGTGGCGGTTTTGGCTCTCCCATGGACATCTTTGATATGTTTTTTGGAGGAGGAGGAAGGATGCAGAGAGAAAGGAGAGGTAAAAATGTTGTACATCAGCTCTCAGTAACCCTAGAAGACTTATATAATGGTGCAACAAGAAAACTGGCTCTGCAAAAGAATGTGATTTGTGACAAATGCGAAGGTAGAGGAGGTAAGAAAGGAGCAGTAGAGTGCTGTCCCAATTGCCGAGGTACTGGAATGCAAATAAGAATTCATCAGATAGGACCTGGAATGGTTCAGCAAATTCAGTCTGTGTGCATGGAGTGCCAGGGCCATGGGGAGCGGATCAGTCCTAAAGATAGATGTAAAAGCTGCAATGGAAGGAAGATAGTTCGAGAGAAGAAGATTCTAGAAGTTCATATTGACAAAGGCATGAAAGATGGCCAGAAGATAACATTCCATGGTGAAGGAGACCAAGAACCAGGACTGGAGCCAGGAGATATAATCATTGTGTTAGATCAGAAGGACCATGCTGTTTTTACTCAACGAGGAGAAGACCTTTTCATGTGTATGGACATACAGCTGGTTGAAGCACTGTGTGGCTTCCAAAAGCCAATATCTACTCTTGACAACCGAACCATAGTCATCACCTCTCATCCAGGTCAGATTGTCAAGCATGGAGATATCAAGTGTGTACTAAATTAAGGCATGCCAATTTATCGTAGACCATATGAAAAGGGTCGCCTAATCATTGAATTTAAGGTAAACTTCCCTGAGAATGGCTTTCTCTCTCCTGATAAACTGTCTTTGCTGGAAAAACTCCTACCGGAGAGGAAGGAAGTGGAAGAGACTGATGAGATGGATCAAGTAGAACTGGTGGACTTTGATCCAAATCAGGAAAGACGGCGCCATTACAATGGAGAAGCGTATGAGGATGATGACCATCACCCCAGAGGTGGTGTTCAGTGTCAGACCTCTTAATGGGCCAGTGAATAACACTCACTGCTGGCATTTTATGTGCAGTAGTGAATGAGTAAGGATGTAATCATAATATGCTCACTACTTGCTCTTGTTTTTGTTTTAATCAACTATAGTAGTGTTTTAAAAAGTTAAATGAAGAATAAAGGCAAATATAAAAGCTCAAAAAAAAAGAAAAGAATCTTCTAAGTTCTCTATTCCCTTTTCTACCTGCTTTAAATCTGTACTTTTCTACTGGTGTTGAGATAAAACTCTTTACAACGTTACTAATTCAAGGCTACCTGGAGATTTTATTTTTCTGTATAGTTCAGCCAGGTTCTAGCTAAAATGTAAGCATTAAAAATGTAACCTTGGCTAACGCCTATAATTCCAGCCTTTTGGAAGGCTGAGGCGGGTGGATCACCTGAAGTTGGGAGTTTGAGACTAGCCAGACCAACATGGAGAAAACCTGTCTCTACTAAAAATATGAAATTAGCTGGACGTGGTGGTGCATGCCTGTAATCCCAGCTACTCGGGAGACTGAGGCAGGAGAATCACTTGAACCCCGGAGGCAGAGGTTGTGGTGAGCCAAGATCACGCCATTGCACTCCAGCCTGGGCAACAAGAGTGGAACAATGTCTCAAAAAATAGTAATAATAATAATAATCCTAAGCTCATCGTTTTTTCAAGTGTATGGTGTGTGTGGGGTGTGTGTGTGTGTGTGTGGTGTGTGTGTGTGTGTGTGTGTGTGTGTATGTGTATGGGGTCTTGCTATGTTGCCCAGGTTGGTTTTGAACTTCTGGGCTCAAGCAGTTCTCCTGTTTCAGCCTCTGAAAGTGCTGGGATTGCAAGCATGAGCCACAATGCTTGGCCCCATTTAAAACTTAGGAAAAAAGAAAAAGAAGATAGGTCTTAAAAATCAAACTGCCATGGAAACTACCCAAAATTTTGGTTCACAGCCGCCATTAGATTACCTATTGGGACAAATAAAGTTTAGCCTTGTAAACAAGTTCCAGTTTTTTCAAAAATAATTTGGACCCAACCATCTTTTATAAACTGGTGAATTTGTAGTACTATCCCATGGCTCGAGTTTCAATATAAAAACTATAAGATTTGTTTTTTTTGAGACGGAGTCTTGCTATGTTGCCAGGCTAGAGTGCCATGGGGCAATCTCGGCTCACTGCAACCTCCGCCTCCTGGGTTTGAGCGGTTCTCCTGCCTCAGCCTCCCAAGTAGCTGGGACTACAGGTGGGCACCACCACATTTGTCTAATTTTTGTATTTTTAGTAGAGATGGGGTTTCACCATATTGGTCAAGATGATCTCGATCTCTTGACCTCGTGATCTGCCCGCCTCGGCCTCCCAAAGTGCTGGGATTACAGGCATGAACCACTGCGCCTGGCCCCCGTTATTTGTTTTTTTTTTTTTTTTAGACAGAATCTTGCTCTGTCTACCAGGCTGGAGTGCAGTGGTACAATCTCAGCTCACTGCAACTTCCACCTCCTGGGTTCAAGTGATTCTCATGCCTCAGCTTCCTGAGTACTGGGATTAAAGGTGTTCGCCACCACACCTGGCTGAGTTTTGTATTTTTAGCAGAGGTGGGGTTTTGCCATATTGGCCAGGCTAGTCTCGAACTCCTGACCTCAAGCGATCCCCCCAAATCGGCCTCCCAAAGTGCTAGATTACAGGCATGAGCCACCATGACCAGCCTAAACCTGTAAGATTAAAAAAATTTTTTGATGTGGTGTATATATGTGTTTAGATGTGTTTACATATGTCATATATTGTGTCTAAATGGTACCAAACTGATTTATAAATAAATACCCATAAATTAAGTAAGCCCAAATATTTTTCAAGTTCGTGTGACTTAGGCAAATTTTTTTTTTTTTAATCGAATCACACTCTGTCATCGACTGGCATGCATTGGTATGACCTCGGCTCACTGCAGCCTTCATTTGCTGGGTTCAAGTGAGTCTCCTGTCTCAGCCTCCTGAGTAGCTGGGATTATAGGCATGTTCCAGCACACCTGACTAATTTTTGTATTTTTATAGAGACAGAATTTCACCATGTCGCCTAGGCTGGTCTCAAGCTCCTGACCTGAAGTGATCCACCCACCTCAGCCTCCCAAAGTGCTTGGATTATAGGCATGAGCCACTGCGCCTGGCCTTTTTCTTTAACAGCTAAAGAACCACTGGTTATGAGATAAATCACAGGTCACCAACCCCTAGACACTGATTAACTGAGCCTCCTTGTTCCACAAGCCATAACTACAGATTTAGATGAGAGACTGATTTCTCTAACTTTCTCCTGATTAGACACCACTGACCATGGGCTGGTTCTGGCCAGTCTTACGGAGGCTGCACACTTGAGTGTCGTCGTGTCCTTACTTCACCTTGTAACATATAGGGTCTAATAACAATACATTTAAATGTTAAGTCTCCACCCCATAGTAAGCGCAGAATGCATATAACATACGTGGTTATTCAGTACGCACACATTGGACCCCTTCATCAATATTCATCACTCCTCCTATAACCTGTTAAGTGTATATACTTGGCCAGCCCGTTCAGCATAGTTCTTCTTTAAATGTTTGGTAGAATTCACTAATGAAGTCATTTGGTGGACTTTTTGTTGGGAGAGGTTTTTAATTACCTATTCAGTCTTTTTCTTGTTATAGATATGTTCAGATTTTCTATTTCTTTTTTTTTTTTCCTTTGAGACAGAGTTTTGCTCATATTGCCCAAGCTGGAGTACAATGGTGGGATCTTGGCTCACTGCAACCGTCACCACCCAGGTTCAAGCAATTCTCCTGCCTCATTCTACCGAGTAGCTGGGATTATAGGTGCGTGCCACCATGCTCGGCTAATTTTTTGTATTTTTAGTAGGAATGGGGTTTCCCCATGTTAGCCAGCTGGTCTCAAAGTCCTAACCTCAGATGGTCTGCCCGCCTGAGACTCCATCTCAAAAAAGAAAAATTATAAATCCTTCTATTGATTTGTTCTATCTTGATAGAGTTACTGTTTGGGTTAAATGGAATAACATTACATACATATAATGCTTAGTGTAGTGCCCAGCCTATGATCGGTGCTTAATATATGGTATCTGGTATTTTTTTCTTCTTATGAGTATGGCAGTGCCAAAGTGGGCATTTATCAGGGTATGGTGGACCAGATTACTATATAGGGAATTGGAAGGAGCTTTAGAATTAAACAGTGCTCAGCGTGCATCTTTGAGCAGGCTGTCACTGTCTTTGTCCCTGATTTCTCCATCTGTGAAAAGGTGAACACAAATGAGAACCATTCACCTTCACTGTCTTTCAACTCTGAGATTCTTTTTTGGTTTTTGAAATGGAATCTCCCTCTGTTGCCCAGGCTGGAGTGCAGTGGCTCCATCTCAGCTCACTGCAACTTCTGCCTCCTGGGTTCAAGCAATTCTCCCTGCCTCAGCCTCCCTAGTAGCTGGGAATACAGGTGCTTGCCACCACACCCAGTAAATTTTTGTATTGTTTTAGTAGAGACAGGGTTTCACCACATTGGCTAGACTGGTCTTGAACTCCCAACCTCAGGTGATACCCCCCCCCCCCAACCACCACCTCGGCCTCCCAAAGTGCTGAGATTACTGCACCCAGCCAACTCTGAGATTCTTTTGTTTTTAAAAGAATGTTGACTTTGGACAAGGTCTGATTCCTTTTGTATGTGAAATGGATAAAATTACACCCAAAGAATCAAAAATGCCTGTTGTGTTTTTTAGGCACCTGGCACCATGCTGGGAACAACGTAAGAATTTAAGAAAGAGTGTTGGAACAGATACTGCGTAGAAAGTTCTTTGGAGACAGGGTATGTCTGAACCATTGTTCTTGGGTTCTTAGTGAATTGCAAATCAAAAAATACTGCTTTTTGTTCACGTAATCAAATTGCACTGTGGCATCAAGTGAAGAGTGGGAAGGCCAAGATAGAGGCAAGATCTGAGCTTCCAGGGATGTGAGAACAGAAATGTCATTCTTCCTGGAACGTACTCTTCTTACTAGGAAGCATTCACTACTCCCGACATTCCAAGAGAGGTTTCTGCAAGGGGGACGGAAGGGTGCATCAGGTGTGAACATTTACTTGAATGAGTTTAGAGGCCATGCAGTGCAGAGAGGTGACCAGGTACCAAGACCAGCTTCCACTCAGGCGATGCTGAAGGAATTAAGAAGCAGACGCAAAGATAGAGAGTAAAGTGGGACTATCTGGGGGCCAACAGGCTTCTAAGCTGAGAGCCTCAGGGTGCTGACAGCATTCTGGGCTGAGAGCCTCAAGCAGACTCTGACCCATGTAGTTAGTCTCTCTGAACAGGTGATTGTTATTAACAAGCAGCTGTTCTGTGTTTTCTCATAGAACCAAAAAAACGAAGCTGGCAGCTGGTGCCTGCTTACCACTGATCAAAGATAAACTAGAAAGCATTCTCCATACTGGGTGGGGTGGCTCACGCCTGTAATCCCAGCACTTTGGGAGGCCGAGGCCGGCGGATCACGAGGTCAGGAGATCAAGATCATCCTGGCTAACAGGGTGAAACCCCGTCTCTAAAAAAAATAAAAAGAATAATAAAAAAAAAGAAAGCATTCTCCACGAGGGAGCCACGGGGGCAGGATCACATATCTGTGCTTAAAGAACTAGTTTAACTGGTGTGTGACATAAACATACTGTTTACTACTTTAGAACAGCCTGAGCAGTTTTCTGCTTGGGGGACTGGCTTGGTTTTCCTTGCCGCTTTCAGCAAAAAATATAGTCCATTATACACTCAGCAACCAGGAGCTGGGAAGGCAGGTGCAAGGCCTTGCGGCTGTGAAGCTTTGAGCAAGTCCTTTCACTTTTCTGAGCTTACATTTTCCCATAGGGTTATTATGAGGATCCCGGGACAGAAGTAGAGTAAAATACTTTGGAAACCATGAAGTACTGGAAAAATCAAGGTGTCTGGATTGTCACTAGGGTTTTAATAATAGAGGATGCAGCCTCTAGACCTGCATAATCCAATATGGTCACCACCAGCCACTTGTGACTATTTATTTACCTATTTATTTTGAGAAAGGGAGTCTCCCTCTGTTGCCCAGGCTGGAGTGCAGTGGTGCAATCTCGGCTCATTGCGACCTCCACCTCCCAGGTTCAAGCAATCTTCCTGTCTCAGCCTCCCAAGTAGCTGGGAT